TGGTCATGTTTTATGAATATTTAAAGTCCGAGGGGTAGTCGAGGGTTTTAAATGTTCATTAAACATGACCAAGTATTGTCTAACCAACTTAGAACATATTCACACCTTCAAGTGACATTGAAATATCATCCTTTCTAATTGTAATAATCTGACCTTAATATGAGTTTACTTTAATTGTTAACATGGTTAATAAAAGTGATGTAAAAAATATTTAATGGTCATTTCAACAGGTGGAATGTAATAACACTGAGATAGTGTTTTTGTGAAAAATAGTATGAATTGTTCAAAAATGGAAATTTTTCTGCTTCAGGTAAAATTTAATACCTTTATATCTCAAATTCCTTTATTTAGAAAAGCACATAATCTTATAAAAATCACCTTTTCGAAAATAGTATATTTGTTTAATAATGATAAAACTAAGTAATCAAATAAAATTACGATCCTTCCAACATCAAATACGTACTTTTTTTGGTGACGAATGGATTGTTTTTTTTTTCACAAATTGCCTTTGCCTTATAGATCAACAGTCATTGTTTCTTACAAAACATTGACTTTAAGGTCTCATACAAAAATTAGATTAAATATTATTTAACCTACACCTTTAACCCCTTTTCATTTTTGTGTGTGTTCTATATATGTACCATTATATAACGTTTGCAAGATTCAAAACTCAATTTAAAATGTTTTACTTTTCTATTATCTTGTTTAAATTTAAAATTATTTGACAAACAACAGTATTCATGATTGTTCTTCTTTTGCTCTTTTCCTTTGGAAATTGCCTCAGGGGTTTGTACACTTCGTTAGTACAGTTAGGAGTTCACGTTCATAAATAATCTACAATGAAAAGTCATTCATGTATAGCATTTTATAGTGCATGGAAAGCCATGTACTATGAAAAATATAAGGCAAAATACCGTTTTTCATTGGACGAGAAGGGGTGAGTATGTTTTAATCACACGTAACCTATTATTTTTTAAAATACATTGTATGAGCTTCTTTCCTGTATAGTCTTCCTGGCCGGGCCCACATAGTGATTCTGTACCGTAAAGAAAAGTATTTTTAACCCAAACTAAATCACTGATTGCATAAACTCATATAAATAGAAGAGTTGAGAAGGATATTAACTAAACACAAAAGAAAAGATGAGATCTAACTACGAATTATCCATTTATTAGTATGCATTAAACAACTTTTGATAAAATACCGTTCTTGCTTTATTATAAGTTTTCGTATCGATATAAATCAAACCATTCAAACATGTACTTGTGGTCGGATATGTCAAAGCCAGCCTTAGGTGCTCGTTGAAATCTTTAGCCGACAAGATATATCCTTTGCATGAAGCTGTAAATGAGTAACTAGCACTGCTGTTTTCCCTATAATCAAATAAAGAAACGTTTATTCTTCAGGAAATTACATCAACCTGTCTTTGTTATTTTGTTTAGATGAAAACTGATACTTCACTACAGTAAACGTAATACTACATAGTAGATAAAATCATTATATTTTGCACTAAATCCGTTTGATACTATAGGCTGGAAGAAGATGATTCAGTTTTAGTTTTTATTGGCGTTTAACTAGTTTCAGTAACTGAGAGTACTCTTTTGTTTTATATAAGCTGTTTTATTCTTCGTACCAATCTGTTGAGTTAAACCATTTCCCAGTTATTTTTACAGTTTGTTCTTATGCTGTGCTGAACCTCCATGGATTAACAAAAATCATCAATTTGCATATCCCCTTTGTCTAAATGGTAACACCATTGGACAGGGGAAAATATTAAAAGCCTCTTCTATTGATATTATTAACATAGTTGCTAATAGAAACCGCAGCCAGACATCGCACGCGTACTGCTAATGCAGTAATTATAATAATATGAAACATCTTCAATATTCTGTAAATCTTTAAAATCAATGAATATATTAAAAACAACGATTATAACCAATTTTATTAAAATGTACCGAAGTTGAGCCTTGATGACCCAAACATTTTTCACTATTGACGATTCCTGTATATACGTATAAGGGCTTCTGAGTTTTCCCAATACAAGTAGTCTGGTATATTTTTTTAGATATAAATGCAAGTCTTTAAAAGGTCATCTGAAATAATTATACAAAACAATGTTTTTGTTTTTAATTTGTTCGGACCAGAGTGTTTATTCAAAAAGACGTATAGTAAACCAAATCCTAGAAATATCCCAATATAAGTTCCATGCAAAATAGAAACTTGTCTGTTTGATGGATGGTGCAAGTCGTGTGGTAACAGACGATAAAATTGAGAATGGAAATGGGGAATGTGTCAAAGAGACAACAACCCGACCATAGAACAGACAACAGCAGAAGGTCACCAACAGGTCTTCAATGCAGCGAGAAATTCCCGCACCCGGAGGCGTCCTTCAGCTGGCCCCTAAACAAATATATATACTAGTTCAGTGATAATGAACGCCATACTAAACTCCAAATTGTACACAAGAAACTAAAATTAAAAATAATACAAGACTAACAAAGACTAGAGGCTCCTGACTTGGGACAGGCGCAAAAATGCGGCGGGGTTAAACATGTTTATGAGATCTCAACCCTCCCCCTATACCTCTAGCCAATGTAGAAAAGTAAACGCATAACAATACGCACATTAAAAGATGTCTGACTTGCCAACAAATATTTAAAGATCAGTTGAAAAAGGCTTAACTCATCAGATGGATACAAATAGAAATACATCTCACAAATGATCAATATCATAAACTATTTAACCAATTTTACTACACCAAATGCGCATTTCGACAATAAAAGTCTCTTCAGTGATGCTCGCGGCCAAAATATATTTGCTCTGACAACAGTGTGTAAAAAGTAAACAATTATAAGTCAAATTACGGCCTTCAACACGGAGCCTTGGCTCACACCGAACAGCAAGCTATAAAGGGCCCCAAAAAGACTAGTGTAAAACAATTCAAACAGGAAAACCAACGGTCTAATCTATATAAATAAAAACGAAGAACAATTATGAACCACATTAACAAACGACAACCACCGAACAACAGGTTCCTGACTTAGGACAGGTGCTCATTGTTGAAGGCGGTACGGGTGACCTATAGTTGTTAATTTCTGTGTCATTTGGTCTCTTGTGGAGAGTTGTCTCATTGGCAATCATACCACATCTTCTATTGCATGGCGGTAGAAACTGGGTTATTATCTCCCTAAAACATCACAAATTATGAGGTTCGTCTATTAGTTCTATGCTTTAAAGGAAACTGTATGTAAAGGTAAAACTTTAACCAAGCTTGGTCACAATCATCATTTGGGTATCTAGTTTAAAAAATGTGTCCGATGACTTCGCCTGCCAACCAAGATGGCCGACATGGCTAAAATAGAACATAAGGGGGAAATGCAAGTTTTGTCTATTATTTTGAATATAAAAATAAGGAGATGTGGTATGATTGCCAATGAGACAACTATCCACCAAAGTTCAGATTTAGTGGATTTAAGTTATTATAGGCAACCGTAAGGCCTTCAACAATGAGAAAAACCCATACCGTACTATAGGCAACAGTACGGCCTTCAACAATGAGAAAAATCCATACCGTATAAAAAGTTTGCAAAACAGATAAAACAATAAAATATAACAATTTTTACAGTAACTATAGTTATAAATATATAAGAAAAAGACTATTTCAAGAAAATTGCTCTCACGAACGACAGTTCATGCATTGTTGCGTCATCGTACCGTCATTCGTGATAATCTGCTATATTCAAACGAACGAATGTTGGGTTTAAAAAGGGAAGCCCGCAAACTCCCAACATCACATATTGCACTTCAATTTATATTGCTGTTTGGAATAAATCATCAAAACAACATAGTATTTTATTCACTAAGTATGTAAGTTGTTTAAGTTTAAACTATTTTCAATTTAGACTTATTACTGGGTTTGTACTAACATGTTTAAACAATTCAAACGAAAACACCGAAGCAATAAACAAATAACAAATATGACAGACAGCAACCATAGACAACTACTTAAATATTAAAATACACACATGTCTGACAAGTTTCTATTTTGCATGGAACTTATATTGGGACGTAGGACTGTTATTTGTCAGTTGTTATTGGCTTTGACCTAGCTCTCAGTAACTGCGAGTACTCTCAGATCTGTAATTTGTGTCTTTTTTTATGTTAGGGATGTATAAATACCTTGCCAAGCCCGATCTGTGTTTTTGTTCGATTTTGTATTGCTTAGTTTCGATCTGATGAGTTAACCTCTTTTCAACTGATGTGTATTGTTTGTTCTTATGTTGTGATGGAACACCACTGTCCCAGGCTAGGGGAAGGGTTGATGGCTCACAAACACCCCGCCTCATTCTTTATGTGCCTGTCCCAAGTCGGGAGCCTGTAGTTCAGTTGTTGTTGGTTCATGTCTGTCATATTTGTTTTTCGTAAATTGTTTTGTTTTGAAATAGGCTGTTAGTTTTCTCAATTGAATTGTTTCATACTTTTTATGTCGTGGCCTTTTATAACCATCTATACGGTATGGGTTTTTCAAATTGTTGAAGATCTTACTGTTGCCTATAATTACTTACATCCACTTCATTTGAACTTTGGTGGATAGTTGTCTCATTGGCAATCATACCACCATGGTTTTGTATTTTCAAATATTTTAGCATCGAGCATCAATGAAGACAACCATTTTCATCGATTAAATAAGTATAAATTATGACATTCAAGCTCATTAGTCGAAATAAACTGACAACGCCATGGAAAAAAAGAAAAAGACCGAAAGACAAACAACAGTATACAAAACACAACATAATAAACTAAAGACCGAGCAACACGAACCCCTTAGTAATATAACATTATAAAAGAAAAAAAAAGTTATAAGAAAAAGTGCAAAGAATATTAAAGCTGACAAAGACAACATCTTAAAGCAATATCTGTATACCTTCTTCAGAGTTGAGATAGATATTAACTAAACACAAAAGAAAAGATGAGATCTAACTACGAATTATCCATTTATTAGTATGCATTAAACAAATTTTGATAAAATACCGTTCTTGCTTAATTATAAGTTTTCGTTATCGATATAATTCAAACCATTCAAACATGTACTTGTGGTCGGATATGTCAAAGCCAGCCTTAGGTGCTCGTTGAAATCTTTAGCCGACAAGATATATCCTTTGCATGAAGCTGTAAATGAGTAACTAGCACTGCTGTTTTCCCTATAATCAAATAAAGAAACGTTTATTCTTCAGGAAATTACATCAACCTGTCTTTGTTATTTTGTTTAGATGAAAACTGATACTTCACTACAGTAAACGTAATACTACATAGTAGATAAAATCATTATATTTTATACTAAATCCGTTTGATACTATAGGCTAGAAGAAGACGACTAAGTTATTAGTTTTTATTGGCTTTTAACTTGTTTCAGTAACAGAAAGTACTCTTTTGTTTAAATGTTGGCTGTTTTATTCTGGGACCAATATGTTGAGTTAAACCATTTCCCAGTTATTTTTAGTTTGTTCTTATGTTGTGCTGAACCTCCATGGATTAACAAAAATCATCAATTTGCATATCCCCTCTGTCTTAATGGTAACACCATTGGACAGGGGAAAATATTAAAAGCCTCTTCTATTGATATTATTAACATAGTTGCTAATAGAAACCACAGCCAGACATCGCACGCGTACTGCTAATGCCGCAATTATAATAATATGAAACATCTTCAATATTCTGTAAATCTTTAAAATCAATGAATATATTAAAAACAACGGATATTATAATTTACCTCAATACATTTAATTGTACACAATTAAAGATGATCTTTTAGATTGTAATAATGTGTCGCCTTTCAGTACTAGTCCCTTTACGAACGAACTAGAATACTCAGAGGATCACAAACGTCTTGCATTGAAATTAAATCTGTTTCATCAGATCGAGATTTTATCAACTTATTCAGAACTAGAATTGATCAATATATCAAGTACACGTATATCTAATGACTGCTGCAATATTAAAAAAATGTGTACAGCAAAACTTTGATGACATTGAATTACCTATTCAACCTACAAGAAGCCTGGCAGGTATATCATTAACTATTCATCTATTGAAGCCGACGTTGATATCAATAAACTGTTGACATAGAGATTTATCTTACCTCCTATACGTTTCTAGGAATATGATTGGTTAAAAGCGTCCGCGTGAAGACCGTGTATATGCCATATTAGGTTAGTAGGGAGGCGGGCTTATTTCAATACACGGTTAGTAGTGGAGTTACGACTTTTGCACTATTTGATTATCTAAATGTATTGAAAGTTCTGTTTTTATTGTTATACCAAGGTTGTTCATATTAAATTGTTATTGCTGACATTATTTATTTTGTGCAGACCAATGGAAGAAGTTCTTAAAATTGAACACTTGAACACTTTAATATAAAAATAAGAAGATGTGGTATGAATGCAAATGAGACAACTCTAGTCTAAATTCAACAAATAAAGATAGTCGGTAAGATAAATTCGTTACATATTGTGCTAGTGACCTAATACGATATATACGGGGTCAGTAAATTCCATATGGGGTTCGCTCTCACCCCATATGGAATTTACTGACCCCGTATATATCGTATTCGCTCTCACCCCATATGGATTTTACTGACCCCGTATATATCGTATTAGGTCACTAACACACTATGTAACTAATAATGTCTCGCATATCGGCATACAATTCAGAAAAAGACAATCTGATGGACAGTAACGTTGCTTATTAATTCAGTCGCTGGACCATGCTCTAGTGGGCAGGGCCTGAAAATGGTCGACAAATTGAGATGTACAGATAGTAATGTAACGTTATGGAAATATCTTTGTCTATAGTAAGTAGTTCCTATCAATATGACTTAAGCAGAAAACTTAACATTGACAATTGATAATTAATTCTAAGTCACTGGACCATGTCGTAGGGGGCAGGGCCCCTAATAGTCGTCAAACTGATATGTACTGATAGTAATGCAATTTCATACAAAATATCATTAATATATCACAAGTAGATCATATAAAACTGACTTAAGCAGAAAACTCAACTTTGAAAATTGCTAATAAATTCCAAGTCACTGAACCATGACCTTGGGGACAGGGCCACAAAATAGTCGTCAAACTGATATGTACTGATATTAATGCAACTTTATATTAAAAATCAATGATCTATCACAAGTAGGTCCTATAAAACTAACTTAAGCAGAAAACGTAACAATTGTTGACGCCGTCGCCGGAAAAGCAATCCCGTATTTCGTAGCGATCAGTTTTTATTGGTGGAAGGAACCGGAGTGCCCTCAAAGAACCACTGACCTTCGGCAGGAAAACTAACAATCCTAGTCCATTAAGATTAGGTCTCGGGCGCACCCGCCACGTGCGGGATTCGAACTCACAACCTCAGTGTTGACAGACTAGTGATACAGTAGTTGGACTACTTAGACCACTCGGCCACCGTGGCCCCGAACTCTGAATGAAGTAGCGGTTGTAATTATTTTGCTCATGTACTTTGTCTATAAAGTGTCTCTATGCCATATTGTTTTTCTTTGTTGAAATAGTTATTTGTTTTATAGTGATTAAATAGAACACAATGCTGACTGCTGTACCCCAATTTTTGACAATTTTACCTATAATAAAATTGAGAATGGAAATGGGGAATGTGTCAAAGAGACAACAACCCGACCAAAGGACAGAAAACAGACGAAGGCCACCAATGGGTCTTCAGCACAGCGAGAAAATCCCGCACCCGGAGGCGGGTTTCAGCTGGCTCTAAACAAAATGTGTACTAGTTCAGTGAAAATGGACGTCACATTAAACTCCAAAACATACAAATGAACTAGAATTAAAAAAACATACAAGACTAACAAAGGCCAGAGGCTCCTGACGTGGGACAGGCGCAAAGATGCGTCGGGGTTAACATGTTTTGTGAGATCTCAACCCTCCCCCTAAAACTCTAGCCAATGTAGAATAAACAAACACACAGCAATATGCACAGTAAAACTCAGTTCAAAAGAAGTCCGAGTCCGATGTCAGAAAAGGTAACAAAAGAAACTAAGCAAAATGACAATGATACATAAATTAACAAAGGACTACTAGCAGTTACTGACATGCCAGCTCCATTCCTCAATTAAACTGATTAAAAATTATGTTTTCATTATATGAAAATCAAGTACAATCCCTCCCGTTAGGGATTTAGTATTATACCATCATAAAATATATGAGAAGAACATAACCCGTATCATGGCAGCAACTGGTTTTAGAATAAATGTGTTTATTTCCGATGCAAAGACCTTATGAGTGAATCAATATTATTACCAAAATATGCCATCTTTAATGACCCGACAACAGCACCGTAACTATATCCCTTTTGAATAAGTCTGTTTAAAGGTTTGATTAGCTTTTGAGGTGAATGCCGACATTTTTGTGCTTTGTATAGAATATTACCATAAAAGATTGGATGTGAAATACCTGAACATATAAGATGTTTGCGTGTTGATTTATATTTACGAATGACGTTCTTGTCCCGATGATAAAATTTAGTAAATGTTTTGACTTTTTGTGATATCGAAAACCCTGGTGTAATTATTTTTCAGTAAAACAGAGATTTATTTCGTTAAAATTAAATACGTTGTTACATACACGAGCGAATTGAACACATTGATATATATAAACACCATAATATGGTGAAAAGGGAACGTCACCATCTAAAAATGGATAATTAACAATAGGAAATGAAAAATCATCTCTTTTATCATAAATTTTGGTATTAATCTTCCCGTTAAAGATATAGATATCAAGATATAGGAAAGGGCAGTGCTCATTGTTAGTACTAGCTTTATTCAAAGTCAGTTCAGCAGGATAACTATCTTTAGTGTACATACTGAAGTCGTCATTATTGAGAGCCAATATACCATCCAAATATCTAAAACTGTTATTAAATTTTTGTATCAGATGTTGTTTCGATGGTTCTTTGCTGATTTTAGTCACAAATTGTAACTCTTAACAATACAGAAACAGGTCCGCAATAAGTGGTGCACAATTAGTCCCCATTGGAATTCCGATAACTTGACGATATACGGAATCTCTATAGCGAACAAAAATATTATTTAGTAAAAATTCGAGGGCAGTTATAGTATCAAAAGCAGGTCCAATTGACATAGTTTTTTTGTTTGTTGTTACTAAAAAATGACCTTAAAGAGTTTGAACATATATATTCGCATTCTGACTTTTTAAATGCCCATTTAATTAGGTGTTTGAATTTTTTCTTAATAAGATTATGAGGTAAAGTGGTATATAGGGTAGAAAAATCAAATCTTTGAACAGATTCGAAATCATCAATATAAGCATACAATTTATCAAGTACTTCCAACGAATTTTTAACACTCAACACAACTGGTTCCTGAGTTGAGAAACAGATACATCGTATCGGTCAGCTAATTCGTGATGGCGACCCTAAAACATATGTTGTATTGCTTTCAGTTGTTCTTCCTCATAACTCTGTTGGAACAGTTTTTTGTCAGGAGCACACCCCTCTTAACGAAGTACGGATAGTGTGAAGATGCAAATCCGTAATGTATTAATTTAGATGCTGGAAAATTAAAACTTGACGATTGAAAAATTGAAATCAACAAGGTTGCTATAAATTTTAGTTTAAGGTTGTCCATCTGTGTCAATATGAAAGAAAAGATCAATATCATAAACTGTTTAAACAATTTTACTACATCAAATGCGCATTTCGACAATAAAAGTCTCTTCAGTGATGCTCGCGGCCAAAATATATTTAAAAATCTTGAAATAATCAAAAAATAAAGAGCTGATAACATTAAAAAGGACAAAAAGTATAGCCAAGTATCAAGATATATGGGAGGTCATTTCTCGTTGAATTTGTTGCCAATTTTTTCAACAATTGTATCACTATGACATCATGCATCCTAAGCCTATTGAATATCAGCAACAAATACAACAGCTTGAAATACTGTGTATAGTGTAATGTATGGTCCTGGTGTAAAACTCGATACAATTTTTATCCTCATTGACACAGATGCGGGGAAATTTTGCACCAGCGTAGCAATCTTGTTCGGCTTTATATTTTGCACTTCATATTTTTTTGCTTATATAAATAAGAAGATGTGGTATGATTGCCAATGAGACAGCTCTTCACAAGAGAACAAATGACACAGAAATTAACAACTATAGGTCACCGTACGGCCTTCAACAATGAGCAAAGCACATACCGCATAGTCAGCTATAAAAGGCCCCGAAATGACAAATGTAAAACAATTCAAACGAGAAAACTATCGGCCTAATTAATGTACAATAAAATGAACGAAAAACAAATATGTAACACAGCAACAAACGACAACCACTGAATTACAGGCTCCTGACTTGGGACAGGCACATACATACAGAATAAGGCGGGATTAAACATGTTAGCGGGATACCAACCCTCACCCTAACCTGGGACAGTGGTGTAACAGTACAACATAAGAACGAACTATAAAAATCATCTAAAAAAGGCTTAACTCATCAGATGGATACAAATAGAAATACATCTAACAAAAACACAGAGTGGACATGGCCGGGTACTTGTGCATCCCAACACCAAAAAGACACTAAGTACAGATCTGAGAGTACTCGCAGTTACTGACAGCTAGTTCAAAGCCAATAACGACTTATAAAAACAATCATGCATCTAAGACTAAATTATCAATCAGTACACATCCAACATCCAATGGATTTAGTGTAAAGACGTCATAAACAGTCAGAGAAAAACATGACCTTGTGCAATGCCAAGATACAGGTATCGACTGATAGTAGGTCCATGAAAGTGCATATGTTTATAACAATAATATTTAGTTTAAATTTACTGATAACAAAATCAATATTAATACCAATAAAAACAATATTCAAAATCTAATTACAGTGTTGAATTGGTAACCTTTTAAATTAAGTTTACTTAAAGGATCAATAAGTTTACCAGGATCGTTTCTAAATTTCCGGGCACGGTAAACAACATCTCCGTAAAAATGTGGATGTGCTATCCCGTTTGAAATAAGTTTTACAACAAAACTTCAACACCAAATCTGTATATCTATGGAAGAATTTAGTAAAGGTTTTAAGTAATTTGTGGTAACGAAATCCCTGACTTAATAATTTACCAGTAATACATAGATTACGTTCAATAAAATCTAAAACGTCACATCAGACATAAAAAGCTGTAATTATACGCGTATATTCATAGAGTGGGCTGAAGAAAAAGATTGTGTCACACTCCTTGAAAATATCATGTAATTTACTCATTTACTAATTGGTATTTGACCCAGTTTACACTATAATTGATGCCTACCATTGTTTTTAAATATAGATAGGAGATTATCAAGTGTATAATTTATACGGTGTTTAATTTGTTGATTTCGATTGATATGTTTGCCATGAAACCTATTATTACGTTGTCTTTTATCAACACTATTCATGATATCAATAGAAGAAGTTTTAGATATGTTCCCTTGTCCAAGTATATTGTCATTAAGACCCAGGGGATAAGCTGTCTGAAGTCGTTTAATCCAAGACATTTCGATAATTTTACGTGAATCTTCAAATTGTTTATACGATTGCCCTTGTTGTTTCTGTGTCGTTTCGAGTGGTTGGAATCTTATCAATTTAATATTGTGGTTGTGTTTACCTAAATGTTGGTAAATTATGCTTTTGAATTTCTTAGGTTTTCGGAAGCGATTATAGATGTTCCTGTGTTCGTTAAAAAAATTCCCGTCTTGTTTATCCTACATATTGTATACCACACTTTGGCTTTGTTCAAGTAACCAGATAAATGAGGCTTTGAGTTTTTCATGTAAAGTCACGAAAAACTCTCCCGTTCACTGTTGCACTGTTGACCTAACAATATTATCAGAAGATAATCTAGATCAGGTTTAACCACCGCGTGTGTCATGTAACGTTGTTAACTTCATGTAATGTAAATCAATGGTTCATTTTGTCGTTAAACACATTGATGCTTTTGGAATTTGTAATGAATGACTCTCTTCATCCTGTTCATTGGTATTCAACAATATTTTCGAATGGGGTCACCAACTTAAAAAAACCTACCTGTCTACATCAAGAGATAATGACTTTACCATTGCTACACCATCACTGCATATATACCATTGAATGAGACACTTTACAGATGTTAAAACAGAATTTATCTTGTGTTCAATCACACCAAGTTGTGCTATTCTGACCGAAACTGGTTCTGAAAATAAACGAACATGTTGTCGTATGTTGATGTGGTTCATAAGTATTTCTCGTTTCTCGTTTTTTATATAGATTAGACCGTTGGTTTTCCCGTTTGAATGGTTTTACACTAGTAATTTTTGGGGCCCTTTATAGCTTGCTGTTCGGTGTGAGCCAAGGCTCCGTGTTGAAGACCGTACTTTGACCTATAATGGTTTACTTTTGTAAATTTTGACTTGGATGGAGAGTTGTCTCATTGGCACTCATACCACATCTTCTTATATCTATGTAATTTATAGTAGTACTCATGTTAGTAATATCTCACATCAACCAGTGTTCACCTTTGTCCTTCTAATCCAAAGTTATTTGTATACCATTTCAGTTGTCAAAACGATGAAAAATTATTTAGCACATACTTACAACTCCTCGTCAAATAACATGTTGTTTCTTAAATTAAAGAATATATGTTCACAATTAATTTGATATATCTTGATATGTCCTATGAGACTTTGTGAAATGAAATTCGAGCAACTTGATAGTATATATATATATATATATATATAAACAAGTATAAATTGAAAACAATGTTCAAACCTATGATTGCGTTGGATAAAAACCGCAATTTTTATACGTGTGCATGCAAAACAAATTTCTTGGTAGAGGGGTCTAAATACAGCACAAACAACAATTTCAAAAAGACCAAAAAAAGTGAAAAAGTCTATTTTAACAAAACGCATTTGACTAACAGGTCGAACAACTGATGTTCTTAAACTCTGCTGACTGCCATTGGAGATTGCCAAATAAATTGATCACCAGATTTAACGAAATGGATCTTAATAATAATTTAATATCAAACATAAAACAATAAACTTGTGGAAAAGATTGTATACCACAAACATGAGGTGCAAAAATTTGTACACCATATCCGGATTTCGACAATTAATGTCTCTTCAGTGATGTTAGGGATCGAAACGGTATTTTGAAGGCCGTATAATTTACCTCAATTTAGGATAGACTCTTGAACTTTAAAAGTCGAAATAGGATGAACGGATCATATAAACCCGAAGGAAAATACAATACAAGCCCAAACGAAAAAAAAAATAAAGGTTTAAATTGAAAACAACAATTTTTATACGTGTGCATGCAAAACAAATTTCTTGTTAGAGGGGTCTAAATACAGCACAAACAATATTTTCCAAAAGACCAACAAAAGTGAAAAAGTCTATTTTAACAAAACGCATTTGACTAACAGGTCGAACAACTAATGTTCTTAAACCCTGCTGACTGCCATTGGCGATTGCCAAATAAACGGATCACCGATGTAATAAATGGATCTTAATTGTAAATTTAATACTAAACAGAAAACTATAAACTGCGGAAAAGATGGAAAACCGCAAACAAAAGGTGCAAAGGTTTTTGTACACCATATTCGGATTTCGACAATTAAAGTCTCTTCAGTGATGTTAGGAATCGAAACGGTATTTGGAAATCCATACAATTTACCTCAATTTAGGATAGACTCTTGAATTTTGAGGAGTCAAAATAGGATGAACGGATCATATAAACCCGAAGGCAAATATAATACAAGCCCAAACGAAAAAATATAAACAAGTCTAAATTGAAAACAACGTTCAAACCTATGATTGCGTTGGATAAAAACCACAATTTTTATACGTGTGCATGTAAAACAAATTTCTTGGTAGAGGGGTCAAAATACAGCACTAACAACATTTTCTTAAAGACCAAAAAGTGAAAAGGTATATTTTAACAAAACGCATTTGACTAACAGGTCGAACAACTGATGTTCTTAAACCCTGCTGACTGCCATTAGCGATTGCCAAATAAATTGATCACCAGATGTAATCAAACAGAAAACAAAAAACTTGCGCAAAAGATGGAATATCGCAAACATGAGGTGCAAAAATTTGTATAAACCATATCCGGATTTCGACAATTAATGTCTCTTCAGTGATGTTAGGGATCGAAAAAGTATTTGGAAGGCCATATAATTTACCCTATTTATATATACTAAAACAGCTTTAGCTTTAATTAAAAAAAAAAACAAAAAACCAAAAACAAAACCTTTAATCTTAATAATTGATCTATTGATTACCGCCATGAAATCGAAATCAGAATTTAAAACATGTAGAACACCCACCGCCATTTAACTGCATCTGCCTGTCTTTAGTCAATTCATTTTGTAATTTACTATGCAAAGAAATGAACATATCTCTTCTTCAACATACATACTTATACAAGCAGCTACATGTACCATATTTCCTGTTGAGTTCCAAATTCGAGTTTGATGCATTTATAAACTCAAGATCTGACATCACTGTAAGTCTCAAATTGAACAAATATGACTGCTATGATACTAGCGAGTAAATTCACATAACATAAAACTACGTTAATGAACTCCGTTTTACAAAAAAAACTGTGATACAAGTAGTTATTAATATAAACAATCAACATACCAATTATTAGATTACTCAAGTTGTAAATATGTGCTAAATTGAAGAGTCAATGAAAATGTATACACTTTAGTAAGATTTCGGGGTACAGCCTTCCGCTTTAAATTTCATAGTACTTTGTACATGTATATACCTTTTCATAAACTATTCCTTACACATTTATGGCATTATATGTACATGAAAGTCGTGTACTATGGAAAACATTGATTTGCCATTGGAGAAAAAGACGTTGGTTTAAAGACAACTCTTGAACAATTGTACATATTCATTATTTGCACAGCCCCTCGCTCTAAATTCCATAGTTTACCTTTCCATAAAGTAAACTTTACACATTTATAGCAATTCATAGTACATGAAAAGTCGTGTACTACGGAAAATATTGATTTTTCCATTGAACAAAACATTTTGTTGGTTTAACGACAACCTTAAATCAATTGTACAAAACCATTACCTGCTTTATTTCTAAACAAATGCACACTTGCAGATCGTTTATTTCTCCAAAGGCATCTATATCCCCCAAACTGGTTTTGACAGTATGAACCGCTTGGACATGTGCTCCACATACACTCATCAATATCATGTTCACACTGGCGACCAACCCAGCCTCCAGTACAATGGCAGTAGTATCCATACTGAATGTTGACGCATGTGCTGTTGTGATGACAAGGTGAGGATGCACACCAGTCTATTTCTGTCTCGCATGTTTTTCCTATATACCCTCTGTCACAAATACATGAAAAGTTTGTATATCCGTTGATACACGAACCACCATTTTTACATGGGCTAGTATAACAAAAATCGAACGTTTCGCATGTCTGTCCAGTGTAAGTGTTGTTACATACACATGTGAATTGAGAATTTCCATTTAAACATATACCGGAATTGATACATGGATCGGTATGACAATAGTTGTAAACAGAGCAATTTTTGTCTTCCCATTCCTCTGTACAGATGCACGTGTAATCAAAGTTATGATTTAAGCACGTTCCGTTATTGAAACACGGAGATAAATAACAGAAATCCACGTACTGACAACGATTTCCTCTCCATCCAGGTCTACACTGACAGGAATACCCTGAATTATCTTCCATACACATCCCTTTATTTTGACAAGGTGAACTATTACAGGGGTGAAAATGGCACTTGTAATCATCTGCCTCGTTCGTACAGTTTTCTAACGGGTTACACGGACTGTTAAAACAGAAATCTTGTTTCTCGCAATGTTCACCAATCCGTCCAGGTACACAATGACATATCGGCCCGGAAGAGGTATCACTACATGATCCACTATTTGTGCAAATCATTGTAGTACAATTCGCACACTCGTAACCACTGATAGTGTTTACACATTTGTAAGTTGAATTACATGGATTATTACTACACTCATCAATGTCAACAGAACAGTCCTTGCCCTCCCAGAAGTCCGTGCAATCACAACGAAAAGATCCGTTAGTATTAACGCATGTTCCATTATTACTACATGGAGACAACAGACATTCATTGATGTCTGTTTGGCATCTATCTCCTGTCCATCCTTGTTTACAGTTACATATATATCCAGGAAGAGAATCAATGCATGTTCCATCGTTTAAACATGGGATACTTTGACAAGAGTCAACCCTTTCCTCACAATGTCTCCCAGTCCAATCTTCTGTGCAATTACAAAAATAATTCCCCTGTAAATTTACACAGACTCCACTGTTTTCACACGGATGAAATATACACTCATCTTCGTCTTCATCACAATGTATACCTTTCCAATTTGATAAACATTGACATACATATTCATCTCCATTTATAACACAAGTAGCATTATTATGACATGGAGATGTGTCACATGGATCTAAACGTAGGTCACATTTATTTCCAGACCATCCGTTATCACAAATACAAGAGAAATTACCATCGCTATTGTTACATTTTCCATGTATACCACATGGGGTATATTGACATTCATCTATGTCGATTTCGCAGATGGAACCTTTCCAACCCGGTTCACAATAGCATTTGAATGATCCCTTGATATTTTTACATATACCTTTATTTTGACAAGGGGAAGAATCGCATTCATTTACGTCAGTTTCACATCTATTTCCTGCCCAGCCGTCGTGACAAGCACACACAAATCCTCCAGGAATATTTATACAGCGACCATTGTTACGACAGATCTCTGTTATTATGGTATCATTTATACTAATGCCATATTTACATTCGTTCTTATCTTGTTCACAGTTTTGACCAGTCCATTCCTTAGGGCAAGAGCAAATAAGATTTTCATTATGATAGAAAACATTACCTCCGTTTTTACAAGGATTCAATATTGTACGTCCTACGGTGTCATCGGGTAATTCACAAACAGATCCTTTCCACCCAACTGGACAATAACACAAAAAGCTGTTAGAATTTCCAAAACAAATTCCCGAATTGTTGCATGGGTCATTAAAACACGGATCTCGTACTTCACATCGATCTCCAATCCATCCTAATTTACATACACATCTTAGTCCAGTGTTTAACATGTCACAGAAATCTGCATTTTTACAGAGACTATCGCAACCAGTTGTTTTACTTCTATTCTGATAAGTTATTTGTGATTCCGTCTGAAATTTACAAGGCTGAGTAGAACAATGATTTACCTCGGTACAGAAATTCCCATGCCAACCTCTATCGCAGGAACACATTGGTTTATTACGACTGACTTGGCATGTTCCATGGTTATTACAAGTTTCATTATGACATTTTGTTTCTGTTTTACATGTTGTACCACTCCAACCATCAAGACATTGACATGTGAAACTATTGCCTAAACTACTGCAATTCTTCGAATTATTACACGGATTGTTTGCACAATGATCAACAGACGTACATGCTTTCCCAATCCAGCCTTTTGTACATACACATGAGTATGTATTAGCTCCATTTGTGCATGTGCTCTTATGCTGACATGGAGAACCGGAACAGTAATTTCGAATACTACAGTTTTTCCCTACCCAGTCAGAAGAACACGAACACTGGTAAGTATTTCCTTGATTTTTACATTGACTTCCATGGTGACATGGGTTAGTGGAACAGTAGTCCTGTACGTTACATTTTGTACCCATCCAGCCGTTGTTGCATGCACAAGAAAATGAAGTCTGTTTATTTGTGCAGTGCCCATTGTTACATGGAGACTTTGAGCAATAATTATGTTTTTCACAATTTATTCCAGTCCATCCAGTGGTGCAATTGCACGTATGTCCTTTTGCGCTATTGATACATCTTCCCTGATTCTTACAAGGAGTTGTGCTGCAGTGATTAGTTAAAGAACAGTCAATTCCAGTCCATGCGGCACTGCAAAAGCATTTTCCTTGGATACATCTCCCTCGTCTATTGCAGTTTTTAGGGCATTGTTTAGTTGTTATATGTTTCATTGTAGATGTTGCCAGAGACTTTGTTGATTTCAAATGAGGACTAATTTCACATCTCTTTCCTGAATACCCAGATAAACATCTACATGAAATAGTATTTTTGCTTCCAGCTACACATGTAGCACCGTTTTTGCAGGGATGACTATCACATGTTTCAGCTATATCACATTGTTTACCGTAAGTTCCAAGCGGACAGGTACAGTGGTAACTACCAGGTGTGTTAGTACAGTTTCCAGAATTACATAAATCTGTCTTCAATTTACACTCGTTTAAGTCAGTCATACACAAATGAGTGCTCCATCCTAAAAAGAGAACTTTAGTTGTGAAATATATGTTTGGTAAAATTGATAGTTAAGCAAATTTGTCACTTTAACGTTGGTTATGGTTTAGGAAAAACATATGAAATCTGGAGACACTGTATTAAACTCTGATCTAAAGCAACATTTCTGAAAACAAACCCAAATTTATTGAGAATTTTCTTTTAATTTTATGTTTTGAATGAATGTAGAATTTGTATGAAAGAAAATATCTTGAATAAAAAAATGGAAAGAAGATACCAAGGAAACAATAAATACAATAAAGATAACAAAAGAGAAACAACACTATGAGGGAAAGAAAGAAGACAAACAAACAATATTTCATAAAGCACTTCATAGAAAACGTAGAGTGAGCAAACGATCGCAACTGAAACCTTATTTAGCGACACCCTTCGAGTTATTTATTTCAACTAATCACTTAGCTAAAAATTGCACTTAGGGATTTTTTAATAAAAAAAAGACAGGTGTGTTGCTAGGACAAGAAGAATATATATACGTGGTTATCGTGCACGTTAAATATTATTTATCATTCAATCAATATTCACATGCCCTGTACACATATCGCACCGTATAATACGGATATATATATATATATATATATACAAGTCTAAATTGAAAACAACGTTCAAACCTATGATTGCGTTGGATAAAAACCGCAATTTTTATACGTGTGCATGCAAAACAAATTCTTGTTAGAAGGGTCTAAATACAGCACAAACAACATTTTCTAAAAGACCAAAAAAGTGAAAAAGTATATTTTAGCAAAACGCATTTGACTAACAGGTCGAACAACAAATGTTCTTAAACCCTGCTGACTGCCATTGGCGATTGCCAAATAAACGGATCACCGATGTAATAAATGGATCTTAATTAAAAATTTAATACTAAACAGAAGAAAATAAACTTGCGGAAAAGATGATGTACCGCAAACAAAAGGTGCAAAGGTTTTTGTACACCATATCCGGATTTCGACGATTAATGTCTCTTCAGTGATGTTAGGAATCGAAACGGTATTTGGAAAGCCATACAATTTACCTCAATTTAGGATAGACTCTTGAATTTTGAGGAGTCAAAATAGGATGAACGGATCATATAAACCCGAAGGCAAATATAATACAAGCCCAAACGAAAAAATATAAACAAGTCTAAATTGAAAACAACGTTCAAACCTATGATTGCGTTGGATAAAAACCGCAATTTTTATACGTGTGCATGCAAAACAAATTCTTGTTAGAAGGGTCTAAATACAGCACAAACAACATTTTCTAAAAGACCAAAAAAGTGAAAAAGTATATTTTAACAAAACGCATTTGACTAACAGGTCGAACAACAAATGTTCTTAAACCCTGCTGACTGCCATTGGCGATTGCCAAATAAACGGATCACCGATGTAATAAATGGATCTTAATTAAAAATTTAATACTAAACAGAAGAAAATAAACTTGCGGAAAAGATGATGTACCGCAAACAAAAGGTGCAAAGGTTTTTGTACACCATATCCGGATTTCGACAATTAATGTCTCTTCAGTGATGTTAGGAATCGAAACGGTATTTGGAAAGCCATACAATTTACCTCAATTTAGGATAGACTCTTGAATTTTGAGGAGTCAAAATAGGATGAACGGATCATATAAACCCGAAGGCAAATATAATACAAGCCCAAACGAAAAAATATAAACAAGTCTAAATTGAAAACAACGTTCAAACCTATGATTGCGTTGGATAAAAACCGCAATTTTTATACGTGTGCATGCAAAACAAATTCTTGTTAGAAGGGTCTAAATACAGCACAAACAACATTTTCTAAAAGACCAAAAAAAGTGAAAAAGTATATTTTAACAAAACGCATTTGACTAACAGGTCGAACAACAAATGTTCTTAAACCCTGCTGACTGCCATTGGCGATTGCCAAATAAACGGATCACCGATGTAATAAATGGATCTTAATTAAAAATTTAATACTAAACAGAAAACAATAAATTTGCGGAAAAGATGATGTACTGCAAACAAAAGGTGCAAAGGTTTTTGTACACCATATCCGGATTTCGACAATTAATGTCTCTTCAGTGATGTTAGGAATCGAAACGGTATTTGGAAAGCCATACAATTTACCGCAATTTAGGATAGACTCTTGAATTTTGAGGAGTCAAAATAGGATGAATAGATCATATAAACCCGAAGGCAAATATAATACAAGCCCAAACGAAAAAATATAAACAAGTCTAAATTGAAAACAACGTTCAAACCTATGATTGCGTTGGATAAAAACCGCAATTTTTATACGTGTGCATGCAAAACAAATTCTTGTTAGAAGGGTCTAAATACAGCACAAACAACATTTTCTAAAAGACCAAAAAAGTGAAAAAGTATATTTTAACAAAACGCATTTGACTAACAGGTCGAACAACAAATGTTCTTAAACCCTGCTGACTGCCATTGGCGATTGCCAAATAAACGGATCACCGATGTAATAAATGGATCTTAATTAAAAATTTAATACTAAACAGAAGAAAATAAACTTGCGGAAAAGATGATGTACCGCAAACAAAAGGTGCAAAGGTTTTTGTACACCATATCCGGATTTCGACAATTAATGTCTCTTCAGTGATGTTAGGAATCGAAACGGTATTTGGAAAGCCATACATTTTACCTCAATTTAGGATAGACTCTTGAATTTTGAGGAGTCAAAATAGGATGAACGGATCATATAAACCCGAAGGCAAATATAATACAAGCCCAAACGAAAAAATATAAACAAGTCTAAATTGAAAACAACGTTCAAACCTATGATTGCGTTGGATAAAACCCGCAATTTTTATACGTGTGCATGCAAAACATATTCCTGTTAGAAGGGTCTAAATACAGCACAAACAACATTTTCTAAAAGACCAAAAAAGTGAAAAAGTATATTTTAACAAAACGCATTTGACTAACAGGTCGAACAACAAATGTTCTTAAACCCTGCTGACTGCCATTGGCGATTGCCAAATAAACGGATCACCGATGTAATAAATGGATCTTAATTAAAAATTTAATACTAAACAGAAAACAATAAACTTGCGGAAAAGATGATGTACCGCAAACAAAAGGTGCAAAGGTTTTTGTACACCATATCCGGATTTCAACAATTAATGTCTCTTCAGTGATGTTAGGAATCGAAACGATATTTGGAAAGCCATACAATTTACCTCAATTTAGGATAGAATCTTGAATTTTGAGGAGTCAAAATAGGATGAACGGATCATATAAACCCGAAGGCAAATATAATACAAGCCCAAACGAAAAAATATAAACAAGTCTAAATTGAAAACAACGTTCAAACCTATGATTGCGTTGGATAAAAACCGCAATTTTTATACGTGTGCATGCAATACAAATTCCTGTTAGAAGGGTCTAAATACAGCACAAACAACATTTTCTAAAAGACCAAAAAAGTGAAAAGTATATTTTAACAAAACGCATTTGACTAACAGGTCGAACAACAAATGTTCTTAAACCCTGCTGACTGCCATTGGCGATTGCCAAATAAACGGATCACCGATGTAATAAATGGATCTTAATTACAAATTTAATACTAAACAGAAAACAATAATATATATGTAGGACTCGGAGGTGCGATGGGGACGCTGACGTGCGATGGTCACGCTATAGTGCGAAGGTCCGCGCCGAAGTGCGATGGTCCTTTAGCTGAAGTGCGATGGTTTGGCATGATGTTTGAATATTGTGACGTTTACAAACAACATGGATTTGCAGGCAGGCGAATAAGATTTTGTAGATGAAGGTTTCATGCGTACAAAGGAAAGGAAACAGTGAATAATGAATGATTCAAGTCCCGAACAGTTTTGAGCAGGGGTGGTGTAGGTAACAATAATATGTAAAACTTTAAGTCAGGCAGCAAATCATGGGGAAAAAAGCGACTAAAAATAATCTTGGTCTGCAGATTGGCTAGCCAGTGTA